CAACACTTGTGGTAGTCCTTTTCCTACTCAGAAGCATGCATGCCATTTTGCACCGTATTCATGCCAATGCCTGGCGAGACGCTTGGAAAGCAGACGCAGGCATCTAGGGAATGGACAGCAACATCCAAAGCACAGTTCCAGCTAAGCAGCTAAGGTAGTGATTTCGCTCAGCCTGGCCAACGAGGGCCTTTCCTGGAAGGAAGAAGATGAGTGGGATGCAGTTGCTGCCAGCTTCAAGAAAGGCATCCGAGCCTCTGGCAGCAAGTTTGCGTTCAGAGAACAAGAAGCCACACTGCACTCAAAGACTTGCTTGCAAGCGAGTTTGGCTGCAAAAGAGACAGCTGCTACTAGTTTTAAGTATTGCGTTCAAGCCCCAACTGTTGCGTGCTTTAAGGATTCGCAAAACCACCCAAACCACCGGCCAAGGACAGCTGCTGCTTGAAGTTGAGAAGATTGGAGCGACGCCGGTGCTCGGAGGCGTTTACCCGAACGGGAACTATGAGCATCCAAAGCAGCTCCTGCTGTTGCAGGACAGGACGAAGGAAAGGGCAGCGGTGTCCAGAACCCAAAACGTCGAAGTGTGGTCTTCAGTAGGCTAGAACCACTTCTAAGACTTTGGGGTACCGGGAAGGATTGAACTGCATAGCAAAGACGGCAACGCCCGACCTTTCCATGCCATCTGGGTTGGCGCCAAACATGTATGTTGTCCGTTTACTGGTCAGTGATGGGCAATCTGTCCACGAATGGCGTTTGACGTAGTCGCATGGCAGTTTCTGCAAGCCCCATGACCTCCCCACGCGAGAGAGAAAGAGAGAAAATGGAAACATCGTCTCCTGAACCAGGCAGTTTCCTGTGATATAGCAGTGCGCCAGAATGACAAAATTCGCCTCTGAACCGGAGAATTTGCTGGAACCAAACGATAATTGTTGGGAAGCAGCTGCTCCATAACAGTGAACCAGAGAGGAGGCGTCATGCCAAACCTTTTGAGGCCATGTATCTACGCTCCCCTGCTCTAAACTCCGGGAGCTGGCCACGTAAAATAACTTCTGTGCTTGAGCCCGAAGGAACCAACTTCATCTATCCTACTTCGCTTGTATGGCTGTGTTTGCCATGTCGTTCGTGAAAATGCTTACTTTGCGGTTTTGATTGAGTAGCCACAGGGCCAAACTGCTGCTTCACGCCGGCCACTTGCACCTAACGTACTGGGAAGGCCAAAACAGCTCACGGGGCAACCCGTCACTCCCCTGCCAGCAAAGCAAAGCAGGGCAAAGCAAAGAGAGAGAGAAGTAGAAGAAGAAGAAGAAGGAGAAGAAGAAGAAGAAGAGTGAGAAAACAAGCGAGAACGACCGTTGACGCTGTTGTTGCCACATAATTGCCCTGAATCTTCTGAGAAGCGTTGCACCAATCGGGGCCAGCAACAACAATCCCAGCGTGCGAAGCCAGTGTAAGCCTCTGACAACCCCGTCGCTACGTTGCGCAGCAGGAGCAGTGACTAGAGGCGTTGTGATTACTCAGTTACTCAGCCACTAGGTCATACCCATGGAATGTGCGGTCGATCCAGGATGTCAAGGAGGCTCGCTGTCTCACAGCCCGGTCGAATGTCCCAGAGTCTCCTCAGTTCTTGTGATCTGGATATGCATGGCGCATTGCGATTCCTGGGTCGGAGTCGGACCGCGTACATCCTGCGATCTCGGGGCGCTGCCTGCGGGGGAGGGCACGGCCTCCCGAGAACGAAAGAAAAAGAAATAGAGAGAGAGAGACCGAGGCTCGGAGCCGCAAGGCCTCCCTATAGCCGGGAGGAAGAAGAGAGACCAAGAAAGGCGATTAGAATGAACTTGAACTTGCAAGACACCACATGTATTGGAAACGCGTAACGGGTAACGGCGGGCTGTGCCAGGAAGCGCATGATTTTTGTGCCAACCTGCCTGTCCCGATGCTGGACTGGCTGGGAGCTTTGCACGATGGACAAGGAAGGTGCCGGACCAGTTTTCAAGGGACGCGCAGGTAGCAAGGTATTATTATACTAGGCGAAATCAGGCGTGTATGTTTCCCTGTTGCACTATACGTAAACTGCCTGATGCGTTTATTTGATATCTGGCACTCACCAAGAACCACTTGGATTTTTCCCAGCCCAGCATCATGAAGCAAAAGAAGCAGCCTCTGGTCCGCGGAAATTATATACAAGCGTGCGCTAGCTTCTTAGAATCGAGGCTACGACTGTAAAGCCTGGCGAATTGGGATCAGGGGCATGAGCCTGTGTCATACCGATGCACGCAGTATGGAGACAAGTTCCAGGAGTTCCTAGAACTCAGATCTGAGCAGGAGTCATTAGTCCGTAGTTCCATGAAATTATTCAGGTCAGATGCTCGTCTTTCCAAATGAGGGTCATTTTTGCTGTCAATGACATTTAGCTTTGTAGTCTAATTGCGCCATCAGCTGACAAGCCGCAGTGACAGCAACAAGTGAACGCTATGTGAGAAGAACGCTTGTCAATGATATCAATCACGACAACAACAGACCACTTATGCTGTTCACAACATGACATGCAGCAAAGACCTTGTATGTTAGCTCGAGCCCTGCGAGGTGGCTGGATGGTCTCATGCGTGATGCTAGCCATCCGAATTCAGCTGGGCATCACAAGATGTTCGACGCCATTGACACTGCCATTTTTGATCCTAGCAAGCGCAGAAGCTTGCTGCCTTGAAGCTGAAAAGACCTGCTGGATGTTTCTTGGAACATGCGGGAGGTAGCCGCCAAACCTTGCTCTCTGTTTGGCAGGAGGCTTCTGAGATCTTCTGAGCTTCAATTCCTGCACAACAAATACGACTCTCGAACAGCTGTGAACGCATTGACGTGCCAGGCCAGGGGCATTGCCCAGCGTATCGCAAGACAAGTGCCGCAATCTCAGGACTCAGGATGGGGGCTAACCCTAGTAAACCTGTGTAGCCTTCATCAGCCCTGGCGGCCTTCGTAGTGCTCAGAAACAAGATGGTCTTGCCCACCTGCTACATAGGGCCGCCCATGGCATGAACAATTCAAAGTTCCAATAGACATTTCCCGCAGACTAATCGATCACGCTTCCCAGTTTCAAGCGTAAATCTCACGATTCAAGCCCTTGGAACTGCAGGTCTTCGCTGGCGGAGCAGCTTTCTACCGTGCAACGGGGCGAGCAGGCAAGTGGTGGAAGGATTGACACTGACCTTTCGCCTCCAGCTATTACAACCAAACTCACCGACCTGTGATGACAACAACGCACGCAGCTACTCATGACACCACAGCCTGCGCAAGCTTCGCATGCAAGATCCGTTTTGGGTATGATTGGCTGTCGTGCCAAGTGAGGTGATTGTTGTTGCTGTTGCGGATCCATGAGCAGGTTTCCATTGCTAGCGTCCCGGAGCCTGAGCAGACGCTGCTGCAAATGGATGCTGTGGAAGGCAGGGCAGATGGAAGCATGAAATTGCATACGAGCAGGCCCCGTCACCCCCAGCACCCCCATCCCCCCCCCCCACCGCCGCGCCCCCACCGGCGTCGCCACTGCCAACGCCGCCGCCGCCGCCGTCGCCACCACCACCACCACCACCAGCCCTTCTGCTCCTGCGGCTCCTGCTGCTACTGTTATGTTTCTGACCTCATGCATGCTGCTTGGCAAACGGAGAAGGTGACGAAGTAAGCGCTCCGCGCCCACCCGTTGAGATCACTTCCGGCTGGGATGCCGGGAACTGAGCTCCAAAGCAATTGCTTCGTACATCAGGCTACACTCAATTTTTCCAGTATTCAGCCATTGGAAGCACAAGTTCTGGAGGTTTTCAACCCTGATGACCAGCTGCTTGGACTTGCATTCGGAATGAACTCAGCAGTTGCTAGCGGCGCTGTCGTGTGGGCTTGTCCCCAGCTAGTGAAGTTGTTGTGTGCACCTGCTTGACTTCCTGGCTTCTGTCAGTTGCCAATCTATTTGCTTCTGTCTCCGTCTTTCTCCCTACCTCCCTTTCCCTTACTTACTGTGTCACTGCCTTCAAAGGCTGGAGCACACTATTCCCACAGGGAGGACGGAGCCTGCTGCCCAGGGCCAAGATGGTGCCCTGGCAGATGCGTTTCAGGTACCGTATGCGTCTGTATGCGGTTAGCTAGAGCGCCGGGACATGAATGCCGGGCAAAACTTCATGCCCAGATGCAACATGGTGTGTTCCGGAAAGGGGTTTACTTTTGGGGTAGGGCCCGGGAAGGGCAGTTCATGGCAAAGCTTGCTTCGCGCTTTCTCGCGATGGCTTCTTGCGCCAGATACAGTGCCAGCTCAGGATGGGGAGACTTCGACTTTGATGATCTGATGTGAGGAATGCTCACGATGTGATTTTTCAAGTAGACAAGTGGTCTGGAAATGTGGGCGGATTGCGCGCTTGCCATTTTACAGCACCAGCTGTCCGGCCCAGTAGTCACCCCGAAGCCTAAAACCTTAAAGCGGGCCCTCTTGAGGGGTTGGTCGCGTGTATGTCAAGATGAGTTAGAGGCTGCTCTAGCCGGGGAAAGTTTTGAAATAGCTTTTTCAAATGATGGCTGGCCTTCAGGCGAGACATATATACTCACTATTCATGTCTTCCGTGGGTGCTCCACTGCAGCGTGCCCGCCGTCAAGCAAAATTTGCTTTCAGTGAACCATACCGCTTCGTCTGTTTCTTCGATGGTGGAGCTCTGGAGACAAAAAGCACATGAGTTTCAGTGAAGCAGGGGTCCTACCCAAGGTGTGGCTCGGGAAGCCCACATTACACCCCAAAGCTAGGCCAGTTCTGCAAAAGATTGCAGTGATGTGTAATAGCTGGGGCTTACTTGATTTGTTGTGGACAACTGAAGATTCTTTCTTTATGCCTGCAACGTTGCTGCTCAAAACGAGACTTGTCTCAACTAAGATATTCGCAAGGGTCCTATGGTGCCGTTGTAGTGGCAGATTTGATGCGTCAGAAAGCCTGCATCACCAACAGTCTCACCTGCACCTTTTCTCAGCCCGAGGTCGGAGAGTGGTGCTTCCAAAATGGAAGTGACGCTGCGCGCCAGTGACCTATCTGCTTCCAGCTGGGTCGTCGAATTTTGACGGCAAAACGACGAGAGCCGACATACTGTGATTGATTCGTGCTACGTAACCTCCAGTTGTCAACCCTTACCACTGACATCACATCAAGAATGTTCAAGACAATGCCAGAAAGCAATGAGAGTTCATGATGTGGCGAAAGTGCCTAGATGGACAGGAGGGTTCGCATGCTCAGGCCACAGATGATGACGAGCAGGACGCTAGGATATGCTGTGAAAATCTGCGAAATGTTTGCGTCTTAAGGACTTGGGCGTGCTGGCGCAGTCACATTCCTTGCACTATGGCACAGTATGCTTCACGTGGTTTGCATTCTGCGGGTTCACATCATGAAGTGCAGGGATGTTCGTGGACTGTTGCCGTTCTGTTTTCACAAGCCAAACAAGATGCCCCATCAATTTTCATGGGTTGAAGTGACGAGAGTCCCGACACTTGTTTTGCTAACCCCCCTTGTGGGGGGCAGGGGTGGAGCATTGGTCCCAAACCCGAAAACTTAGCCATGGGCTACCGACCCAATGGCCTTACATAGACCCAAACACCTTGAGAAGCGTCATCAGACTCCTGCGGACGATGTCTCCAAATCAGGCTGTGCCTTTCATGTCCGGGCAGATGAGAAGGAACATGCTATACCGTGGATCCTTTGAAGTTGAAAGCGAATGTCAGGCATCACCAAGACATGAAGACTGGAAAGCCTGCACCTTGAGGCCTCAAGCAGGCCGCAAAGGCACTCACAACAAAGTGCAAAACAACTCTCTCGCTCTCTCTCTTCCTCTCTGCCGTAGTTTATCCAGAGCTTCAGCACTGCATCGTCACAGGTCCTCAACACCTGCGTGCCACTCTTGAAAGTTATGCATCCGTTTGTTGTACCTGACTGAGGTTGGGCTACTCCCATCCTGGTGTAAAACAATCTTTGCTTCATAGGCATCCTAGGAAATCATAGAATCATAAAGTTTCCCCTTGATTCTATCAAACAGGAGCTCCGGCGCCACCGCGAGGCTCTAAGGCGCCAAAGGGCCGTGCTTTGGCTGCATCCATGATGTTGGTGTGGTTGAGGGCTTCAAGTTCAAGGACTTGAGGTTTAGGGCTCAGAGTGCAGGATTCAGGATTTTGAATGCCCGGTCCTCTTGTGGCTAACTTGGAGGCAGCAGATGTTCTCAAAGTGGGTGCGTGCGCTGCATGGTTGGGGAGCTGCTCAGAAGTGTCCCAGAGAATTTTTCAAAAGGGAACACGGCGATCTCTTCGTAATACCTGCAAATGCCTAAGACTATGGTCCTGGTTTTTGACAAGCCCCCTTTATGTTTTGGGTCCCTTGATGTGCGTGTTTGGGCTCGCCATATTTCTCGGCCACCCAGGAAACCAGTTGCAATTAGAGCGGTGGCTTTGGTGGGTGTCGTCTTCTTTTACAGCATTTTGCTTGTTCTGCAGAGATTCAGGGCCTGGGCTAGCCAGAACCTGCGCTCGGGGTCGGTTTGGTAATACGGCTTAGGATTCGGAGCTTGTTTTGATGTTCCATGGAAGATATGGTGGTTTTTTGGGTCCCTCGGTTTTTGGGTGCTTCTTTCGACGGCCTGAAGGCGGGAACAGTTGGTGCATTTGAAGGGGATCAGGCCAACCTCGTCCTGAGACATTGCTTTCTGTTTGAACTTGCTCGGGTGAGGCTTCTATGAGGGTTTCCAAAAATTAGGCGCCCCTTTCTGGGAGTCCCCATGTTTCACGGATTGTTTCCTAGAGCCCATGTTGGGGTACCTAGCTATGTCTGCAAAAAAACAGCTGCCTAATATTCGAAAACCAGCCCAAGGAACAGGAAGAGGCGGGATCGGCCGCGCTCAGCATGAGTGCCCGCCGTGTAGAAAGGGCTGGCACTGGTTCTGAGCGTTGTAGCTTCAAAGCTCGATGCCAAGTGACAACGAGCATGATTTATACTTTTTGTTTGCTATTGCAATATTGCTCCGTCTCTCTCTCTCTCTCCCTCTCCTGCCTGTGGTGCCATGGCTGTTAAGAGAGTGTGTTTTCATGGTTCAAGAAGCCAAGAGTTCACGACTTGGCGCCTACTGTTCTGTTGGGAACTTGGCACATCAATATAGCGGCATCGCTGCTGACCTGCAGACCTGTGAAGGCCAAGCACAGAGAGCGTGAGCAGGCGCCGCCTTTGACAAATGCCGATTAGCTTCAGCAGTGCTCCGCAAGGTCTGCGAAATGGCCTGCTGTGCATTCCCCCAGCTATATACTTCCTTGCAGGCAAGGGCCAAGCGGCAACGAGAATGGGATGAACGACAGCGTAAAATAAAAGCCGTCGCAGCCTCAGATTCGCAACATGGGGATCCATTCTGTCTTCCGTGGGTCATGTCAGGAAGTTGACCGTGAGGAGCGGGAAATGCCAAGCACCCAGTGGGACGGCAAGTCTGTCTTCTTCGCACGGTTGCTTTCTGCAGGAAGCTCTCAACAGGTTGGGTCCCTGGGTATACTACACCCGTATCGAGGGCTGATGATAGTTGTATGATGTAGTAGGAGCCAACGCTTTGAAATTCTCCCTTCTTGATGCAGAGGCTGCTCTCCCGGGAGGCAGACAATGCCTGACACTCAATGCTCACCGGAAAAAACCAAGGCGGCTGAATTTGATGACTTCCTAGTACTCCAGAGCCAAGAAAGCAGCAGAAGCCTGGCAATGACGGCACCCTGAGAGCTATCGTGCATAGCCCGCAGCACAAGCAGCATAGAACCAGTGTAGTGGTAGTGCAAGCATGACACGTCCTGCAAGGTGAACCTCAAATCGTGTCAGCGAGAGCTGAAAGCTGCCTCGAGAATTCAGGTGCTGAGCGAAGTCATACAGACACTTGGGTCCAGGGAATCTGCACGCACCTGTCTTGAGATTTGCCTGAAATCGATCTGTGCCGTCTTGCCTGCTCAAAGGCGGGTCGCAGGTGTAACCTGTTGCCAAACTGTGTATTGTGTATTGGGCCACCCCACGGGTCTGAGAGATGTGGTGTATCAGTTCTTGAGTAAAAGCGTCCTAAACCTGCAACCGCCTGAGGACAAAGAGAGTTGTGCTCGTAAACAGAAGTAGCCTGCTGTAGAGCGGCACCGCCACATGTCTGCGTCCCCTGCGCTGCTGAACAGTCTACCACCCCCTCCCCCTCATCCTTCGCCGCCGCTGCTGCTGCTACTTCTGCTGCCACTCACTGCAGCTGTGAGTGCTGTAGTACTGCTGTGAAATCAAAACGGAAGCTTTTGTCAGGCTGTTGTGCGAGGTCGGCGATCCCGGGCAGGCGGCAGAAGCTGATGCGGGCATTCTTGAATCCTAGTTGCTTACGCCGCCGTTTATTCAGCAGCCTCAGCACTACAGTAGCATTCTCATCACTTCTACAATGTCCATTCGCATGTTCATTCATTATCGTATGTTGTCGTAGTTGGTGACGGTCCTGACTCTTGAGGCATCATAGCCGTTATCAGTGATTAGCCGGTGTTGCAGTGGGGCAGCTGCTAGTACCGAAGAGCTACGCCAAGAATTCAGGAGTGCCGAGAGGACGTGAGTACGTATTGCCCTTCCTTTGGGGGTCAGCCCTTTCGAAAAGAGAGTTGTGTTGTTGACATGATGTTTCAGCAAGCTAGTAGCCCCTGCTCCCAATTCTAACAGCGTTCAGCGTCACCACCAGCAGCCTAGTATTTTGGGAGTCCTTGCCTCATTAATCTCTCAGACGCCAGCCTGCAATCTCAAGTTCACAGCGCTTGGGGCCGAGCAGCCGAACCGGCTGCAAGCAAAGGGACTGCTGACGATCGCGAAATCCATGCCCCAGGAGCCAGGATAGCAACCAGGATCACCACCGCAGGTGGCCTAAACGTGTGGCAAGGGTTCGATTCAGTGCAAAATTCCGAAGAGGTAGTTTCCCAAAATAGGGAGACCCTAATATAGGCACCAAAACGTTTTAATATGGGGTTCCCCAAAAAAGCTACACCTAATCTTTGGAAACCCTAAACCCTATTTCCATGCATCCCTCTGTTCCCCTTTCATGACCCCCCGCTATAAACCCCTCTAAGGTGCCCCTAATTTTGGGAAACCCCAAGACGCTCTATGAGAGCCACGGAACCGACCGCGATGTTACATTGATGGGCTCCCTCCAGCTCTACCAGAATATCTTGTATACAACTATGCCTAAAGTACTTTTCACCCATTATATAGTTGAATCCCTCTTTGACCAGCATAGCACTAACAAAGCCCCTACATCTTGGGTAATTACTACCCCCACTTTGTAAGAGTTGAAGAATATGTATAGTATAGTGAGACATAGCCCTTAATAAGACCCCTAATACAGACTCTTTCCGCGTGAAGACAGTACCCATCATAAAGTCCAAACCATAAACCCTAAATAGTAGCTTCCATTTTCTTTTCCCTTATCCCCATATCTGTTGCAACCTACATCCTTCCTGGGTCAGGACAGCATGTTGAAAGCCCTGCCGTCCGCCCGGTCCTCCACGTGCCGCGGCGGCAAGACTGGAGTCCATCAAGTAGCCGAGTGTAGGCTTACAGTGATTTCTTTGAACCCTCAGTTCTGATTTTGTAGGTACAACATATCTACAATGAATGTAGACATGACATAGGACATCGGAGAAATCAGCACCTTTTTGGCGTGGTTTGTGTAACGTGCCGCAAGAAACAACAAGGATGACTTGGAAATGGTGCAGAACGAGTCACCCTGTCAATCTCAATTAGAAACAAACTGTTGTGGGAAAGCTCCCAAAATTGACTCATGATTTTGTGGACGGCAAGTCCTGCTTCGTGGTTTTCGCCAACAGAAAACAAGCCGAGACAGTATGCATTGACTTGCTTTAAAGATTGGGCTTAGGGTTCAAAGGGATACGCACGCAAGCGCAGAACTGATGAAATCAGCTTACGGAGTGAGTGAGCTGGATGTCTTACAGCAACAACGAGACTGATCGCCAGTCACCAGCAACGGAGCAGCAGCAACAAGTTAAGAGCAGACTATGCCACTCAGAGGGGGTCAGGCAGAGCTCTGCTTGTATGTGTCTTTCGGTTTTACAATGAGGCCGAGCCCTTCATCGTGAGGGCGGTTGATCTGGAATGAGCCGAACTCTCAGTGGCTTCTCGGATCATCTCCTCGGGGGGTCTGCGCCCTGAACAGTTAGGTTCCCCTACGGCCCTACGAATCCATTGTGATTGGACGGGTTCATGGGTTCTGGAACCTCCCATGCGCGGTTAAAGGGCAGACCAGCCAGGATTGATCACACAAGTAAAATGGATTACGTTTTTAGCAGCCAAAGTTCCAGTGACGCAGTTGCAAGCTCGCAGTGATGGCAGGATGAATTGCGTGAGTCAGTCGCGAATGCAGGTCGAAATCCGTGCGAGTTGAGAACATGAGTCGCGATGCGTCATACCTAAGAGTAATGCGCAGCTGTGCAAATGCTCAGAACTTGGATCCCATGGCATACGCTTGGTCCCTGAAGGTCATGATAATCATCTACGGATTATGGGCTTCTTGCGCATGATGTCTGCTGCCCCCAGAGTGCAGGATTTTGGCAAAACATTGCTTCGTCATTACTCATCGAGCGGAATAAGTGGTAGCGGCAGCTCTGCAAAGGACCATACTTTTGACACATCCTGTTATTGGGTTGGGAGTTTGGGGTCTCGCAAGTGACAGCATCCTCCAAAGGGAGATCCGAGCAATCAAGTCGCAGCTGAGGGCAGCGCAGTGCCGACAGCTATGGACTTTCATGTGGTTTTGGGGTTTGGGCTGGTCTTGCCCTGCCTGAAATGTGTTCTAGTGTTTGTAGAAATGATTACTGTGGTAAGGATAGGTATGAAATGCGTTCTCAATGCTGATAGAAATTGCATTCCCTGAGAAGGATATATGGGAGCGTGATTGCGCGAAATCCTTGCCTGATTTCTTCGCACTTTGCACTACAAGCCTCCATATTGTCAGTTGTTTGTTAGTAGTTGTTGTGGCGGGTGATGCTGGCAACGATAACAACCACAACAATTTTATCTATCGCTTCGCTAACCCTAAGGGTCCAAGGACCCAAAGAATAGGGTCTCAGGGCCCAAATAGCATTCATATTATAGTATTTTGTGCCCTAGAACCCTATTATTGGGGTTCTTGGACCCCTAGGGTAATGTATCTGCGGCTCTCCTTGGCTGTGCCTCGAGTTCGTAAGAAACGTCTCCTTGTCTTCTGCGGAACACACGTAGAGCAGGGGGAAGTTGTGCTTCACAGCATTTCTAGACATCTGATAGCTAGCATCCGTAGGCTTCGATGCGGGAAGTATGCGGGAACTCTGTTGGATTGCCACATCGCACGGATTTCAATCTAGAGCTGCTCAAGATATTGGATCCTGGGATTCCTTTATGGGCGAAGGTTCCTTTCTTTTGCAGTACATAGAGCCCCTGTCTTAGGAAATAGCTACCTCCGCTCCGAACAAGGTCAACATGACTTGTCAGAGCTCTCCATGCCATGCGACAGGGAGAAAAATGCATGACGTTAGCATCTCTGAGCACCAGAGAGCTGAGATGCTCTGACAACCCTCAGCCACCATAGTGTGGGCCAAGGGGAGGGCAGGGGAGAGAGAGAGCGAGAACAAAACCAAGGGCTTGTGGCGGCCGCTCTGGCTCTCAGCAGTGGCAACCTTAGGGTTGTGCGCCTCGACGGTGGCGGAGGCGTAATGTACAAGCCTGACTGGGTACGATCACTGACCTAGCCCTAATGTAGTTACAGCACCAGACGGTTAAACGCCCCCGAACCCTAACATTATCAGCCATCCTGGCCCCGACACTACCTGGAGGGTTCTTGGATGTTCTTGGCTGTCAATTTTCCCGGGGAGTGCTTGGAGGCTTCGGGTACTTGTCATGGCTGTTGTGTTTGCATGAGGGATGCTGGGGATGTTCCAAACGAGTAACTGTGAGCGGGGACCCTCCCAGAACCTTTGTCAGCCTAGCGAAGCGCTGTGATTATCGCGGGGTGGCTCCTTGTAAACAATTGGAACCCATGTAGCTGTATGCAGCCCGCTGTTCCTAAGCTTCAGCAAGCACTTTTGTGCAGGAGTTCATGGCTTTGAACTAGGTAGGGCAACACGCAGGCTGCAAGTCGCATCGGGGGGCCAGCACTAGCACTTTCTCTCACGGATAACGCGGCTGTCTCTGTAGCATGCGTACCTACTTCTTCACACCTGTTGTCCAAACTTAGCGCATGAAAGCTGGAATGACTGTTCCATTGCCTTCTATCCTGCACTAGTGCGGCCATCACTATCATTATGAGCATCGTCCTGACCATAATAAGGATCCCAAAGCGGAACGCATCAGACGTTCGATAAAGCCAAAAAGCTGCTCGAGCAGGCACAGGGATGGCAGAGGAGGAGCCTGCAGAAGCTCCAGCGGACGATGCACCAGAGGAAGCCCGGGAACCATGCCATGCTTAACGCGTTGAAGCCCCAAGAAGGGTGAGGAAAACGGAAGGATAGGCTTAGGACTTAGGAAAGGGGCCATGCTGGAGTACATGCTGCTCCCATCGAGTAAACAGTCTGAAAAGGTGCTATTGCATTTTGAGTAGAGCAGAATAACGCTTACGAGGTGTGCACTAGGATTACGTGTCTCCACAGCTGGCAGGCTTGCGTGCTGATCATCTTGTCTTATTCGTACTTGTCAGCATTCATTCCTTCATGGTTGCTATTGCTAGCCTGTAGAACGAGCGTTTGCAAGCATGACCATGCAAGTTTTCCTTTGATCGACCATTGGCATGTCTACGTGTCAGGTATGACGCTTGCCAAAAAGCAAGACTTGCAAGATCCTTTGTTCAACTTCATTGGCACGAGCTCACGAGCTGTCTAACGCTTGCCAATCGTCTTTTGTGTCGGTTCATGCCATACTTGGTGTGCTGTTGTGTAGCGCTGCAGGCTGAGGGAGAAGAGGTAGCAGAAGCTGCCCCTGAGGCGGGGTGTTACATGCTTTGATGCAGCAGACGAACTTCAGCTGATGCGCCATGGCTAGGCCGGTGATGAGCTGCCCGCAGCTGAAGCGGAAGCTGAAGCTGAAGCCGAAGCACCAGCAGAAGGCCTGAGTGGAGGTGACTTTCGTTGTTCAACTTTGGCGTGAAGCCGGGATGCCACTAGTTACAGTACAACAATATACAACAATGCTACCCCAACATGTATTCTTGAGGTCCTGGTTCGAGGCAGTATTCTCAAAGCATACAGGATATCCTGAACCCAGGCCCTGCCTGAACCAGGCGCTTGCAATAAGTCAGACAACGAACATTCTCACAGCCGGGTAGCACCATGCATTCCAGGGCTGATGCCTCCTGTCCAAGGGTAACACAAATGCGCAGCAGTGCAAGTAGCTGCTTCGGAATCTTAATCCCCACCCTCCCCTTCAGAATGCTTCTATGACCCCAAGTCTGAGAGACCACAGAAGATTGATCTTGCAGGCGAGGAACCTGTAGAGCCTCCTGCCGCTGAGCTCTCAGCAAAGGGCTTGAAGCCTATTAGTAATAGCAATAGTAGTCATAGCAATGGTAATAGTAATAGTAATAGTAGTGGTAATAATAAAAGTAGTAATAGTCATATTATGAGCTAGCAGATGAAGGCATGTAAACATTGCGCGCGCGTGCGCACACACACACACACACATGAGTGAAGGCCTTTTTGTGGAAAACACACTAACATGTATGGAAAGATGATATACGCGCCTAGAAATCTGCATGTAACATGTAGAGTGGCAGGTATGCAATTACTTGTTGGCATGCACAAGTAGACACGGTTGCAGAGAAATCAGGGACAGGCTTCCTCAGTTTTTGAGTTCTCATTCTGGAGCTCAGGCGGAAGAGCCAGCTGAGGCTGCAGAAGAGGCTTGGTGATCAACCGGTCAGAGCTGCGCATAGGAAGCTGGGTGGGGAAATGCTCAAGTGAAAACCAGGTCATGACCTATACATAAACTATATTTTCCTATGGCCATTATTATAGCGGCGTTTCGTCAGATGCGTACTTAGGTCGAGAGAGGCACTGTCCAGCTGAGCCTTTGAACATGTCTCCACCCCATGTTCTTTAACGATTTATGAAACGGGGAAGCTGGTACTACTGTTGATACTGAAAATCCTGCACGACCTTAGTATACTTGTGTACCATTATTCTCAAGGTATAAGGTACCGAGGGTCATGCAGGATTGTTAGTATCCCTATCCCCCGTCGTGCTTGCAATTTCCTCATGTCAGGCTCCCGCTGAGGAGGCGGCCGAGGCTGATGCGCCTCCAGCTGAGGCCCCGGAGGCCATGCCAGAGCTGGCCCGGACGAATGATTTTCAAGACGAGTTGGCGCTAGCAAAAAATCAGGAAAGGTGTGCATTGGAGTAGAAAACAGGGGGTTGCGCGCTAGGGGTGGTTCAGACGAGCTTCTGTTTTGAAGCACGATGCCAGTTGCTTGATAGCTTCGGACGAAGCCACTTGCTTCAAAATTCCCGGCGAAGCTCCGAAGCTGCTGGCCTCACTTGCTTCAAAGCTTCAGGCGAAGCCACTAGCTTCACGAGCTTGAAGGCTTCAGGCAACGCCAAAAGCTTGAAATTCAGGGCAAAGCTCCGAAGCCACTAACTTCAGACCTTCACATGCTGCACTTGTTTCCCGAGCCAAATCAGGCAGTCCCTCAAATAGGGCTTTGGCACAACACTCAACATTCTGACGCGTTGGTTTGGCGCCTTGACTTGCCTGAAGATTGCAGCCATAGCGCTTGGTGAGGCTGGTGAAGCTCCAGCTGAGGAGGTCATAGAGGGTGAGGCATGGGACAGTCTTCCCATGGGGCAGCACACGTTGTAGTCTAAGCTGGTGCTTTCCGACAGTTTTTGTCTGTTTGGGTGGGTGCGCAAGATGGGCATGAGTTGCCAGAGACACGATCAAAATCATCTCTGATGCTGGCATGCCAAATTCTTGCGAGTGGCCTGGTGCTGGTGTTCGTCTTCGGTGGAGACAGGAAGTCTACGTCCCGCTCGAGGAGGCAGACGACGAGCGTCCTGAACTAGACGAAGGCAGCTAGTGGGGCGCACGATGCGAGCTTCAGCTAACAGGGCGCTGGAAATCCGAGAGGTGAGGCTCAAAGAGCAGCCGCCGATGCCGGAAGCTCAGCACACCAAGATGTGCGCCATGGTTCATGGTGCGCCTTGAACTGTTTACGTCTTCTACTTCATGCTGGGCTCATTGTTGCACCTGATTTTTACCGAGGTCCTTGTTCACACAGGATTTCGTCAGCATAGAGCGGCATGACAGGCATGCTCCATGAAAGCTTGGCTTTAGCTCTGAGAGCAAATCGTGGCACATGCCCATGCACTTCGAACTCATGCCCAGTACAAACAAGACATGGACGTCAAGCCACAGGCAGCTCATTCATTCACATGAATCTACTAATGGATGATGTACTGAGCGGTTAGAGGTCCGAGACCTGGGACCTACAAACACGGCAAGACACATGAAAGCTTTGCACTGTCGTAGAACCGTCAGTAAGCATGTCACTTGACAACGCAATGGCGCAAGAAGTGCTTGACACGACGCTGCCAGCACTGGCTAGGCAGCTGGCATTCTAGAGGGAGAGTAGGGTCCCCACACCGAGAGCATTCAAAGTAAAGCCTTCCTACTGCTAGGCTGCCAGCTCAGAACCCAACAAGCCTTGTTTCAACCTTTGTGCGGGAAGTGAGACAGAGTGTTTTGAAACGCTTTTGGGTAGAAGCCCTGTGACTTGCCAAGTGAGGAGCTGCTTGTGCGATGATGATGTTGTGGCTTTGTCGCAGCTTGGCATGCAAAGATGATGGCCAACCGCCCTCTCACATGGAGAGAATCTCGCACTGGCCATGGTAGTACATATCGAAGCGCAACTGTGACAGAATCCTGCTGAGCTTCAGCCTCAGCAGCTACAGCGAGCATCATCCTACTAGTAGGGGTGGTTGCCAAAAAAAGGCAATGGAACAACGTGCGTAGGACATCCCTTCCATACCCTGATCCTTGGGGTACAGTATAGATCAGCAAGGGGCTTCTTGGTCCATGCCCCCAAACAGCAACATATTGCGATCCATGGGGTATGCGGTATGCATCAACGCCCTCGTTCCATACTTACCTCATCTTACCTCTACCAACAAAAGGGTGGTATCCCCATCTAGGTCCAGTTCAGTCTTTTCGCGTCCACGCAACCGCGCAGTGACGAAACGAGCTGGACAGCTAGGAAGAGGGGTGTTATTAGGGTTATATAGGGGTTGTTATATTGGGGTTATATAGGGGTTGTTATATGAAGGTTATATAGGGGTTATATGGGGATTATATCCTGCTGAGGCCCTGGAGTGATAATCCTTAACTAGTGCCAAAGGTCCTTAGGGTACCCCTACGTTGGCAAACCCACACCTGGGTCATTGTTGAAAACATGTTTTACGTAAATTTTTATATACTAAAACACACAGATCAAGATTTAGATGCTGAAGCCCGAAAAGAAAATTAGAAGTTATGGCGGCTCATACTTCAGTAGCTTCTTAGTTTCTTGAGCTGAAGCCCCAAAAAGTACAACGTTGTTGTTTTTTGCAACCACTTTAGTGCTGTTGATATGAAAAACCTGAATGACCCTGCTACATTATAGTACTACAATTCCTTAGGTACGGGGTACGCAGGGTCATGCAGGATTTTTAGTATCCAACGTGAGTAGTATTTAATTTGGGGATACTATGGTACCCAATATAGAGTAAGATTATATCCTCCTTTTGGGGTATAATATTTCATATGAGGAATATTATCTTACTAGGTTCAGCCACCAAAAAAAACACTACTCACTGTAACCCCGACATAACCCCAATATATACCCTATTATAATATAGTAGTTTCCATTTTCTTTTCCATTATCCCTATTTCACCATCTTACTAGGTTCAACCACCAAAAAAAACACTATCCAAATCCCCCTAAAAACCTTTGACCCAATATACTCCCATTATAATCCCAATATAATCCCAATGTAATACAATCGTAGGATCTTGCCGAGGCAAAGCTCCGTGTCGCTGCGCTGCGCTTGGGCGGAAACACTGCAGGATCCAGAGTTTTTGGGTGGTTTATTAGGGATATATGTAGGGTAATAGAGGGCTATATAGTGATAAGGGAAAAGAACATGGAAACTACAATTTAGGGCCTAGGGTTTCGGGTTTAGGGTTTAGTTTTGGGGGCTGAGGGTTGGGGACTACTGAATTTCTTCCCCTATTAGATGAGAATACCATGAGCAAACGGCCACAGAGGGAGGTGCTTGTGTTCATAGTAGGCGGACAAGATGAAAGAGTTTAGGTTTTTCAGACTGCGGCGTCCATGGTCCAGGTAAGGGTTTAGGGCATTTATAGGTTTGGCAATGATCCAGGAGGAGTAGACAAGCCTACTGCTCCTCCAGGCTACAAAATACGTCACCTTGAATTTCCTGAAACTAAACTAGAAATGAAGGAATGGATCCTTATAGTAGTCCCTATATAACCCAATATAGTACTTTCCATTTTGTTTTCCATTCCTTCATCCCCAGCTAACCAAAGGAAAGTAAAGGCCCAGTCATGCCTAGGCTCCCAAAAGGCACATCTCTCCTTTGGATCACGCTTGAAACCTGCACCGGCGTCGTCAAGGGGTGCATGATTTGGCCAGTCTTGGTCTTGGTTCTTGTCAGGAGCGGAAGGCAGAAGCTATTGATTCTTGCCTGCAGAGTGCCCAAATGATCACAGTCTCGTGGACGGGCTGCCATGTTGCGACCCCGGGTATGTGCAACATGTGCAAACCTGATGTCCTGCAACATCTGGAACACCAGCAGTCCGCTGAGGACACTCATGCAGCTGTGCTCCTCCACGCCAAGGCCCCTTGCGGGACCAGCAAGTAAACACATAACCCCCATATAACCCCTATACATACGGGTATAATCCCTATATAGTACTTTCGATTGTATTTTCAATTATCCCAATATAGCCCCCATATAGCCCCTAAAGCCTAACATGAGGTTTCTGAATGATGTGAGCATAGGCCACGAGTCACTTGAAGCGCTTTGACCCGTGAGGCAAGGGGGGCCAACTTTGGCTCTAAACAGCTGAACTTCAAGATCCTCGTCCTGCCTTTAGAATATTGGGCCTTAGGAATAATGAAAAATAAAATGGAAACTACTATAGTATATTGGTATAATGTAGGGATAATGGAAAATAGAATGGAAACTACTATAGTATATTGGTATAATATAGGGATAATGGAAAATAGAATGGAAACTACTATAATGGGGCAGAGTTTAGGGAATATTGTGCATATTCCACTTGCGGTCTTCCGGTCTTGTGTGGTGCAGTTCGTATTGCCTGTCAAGCTTGCAGCATGTATTATCACTACTTTCAGGTTGTCCAGTCTTGTATCAAGGGTATTTGCATCATTGGACATCTGGCTGCTGCAGGAAGAGCTTCCTTACGGATGATGAGCTCGCGCCGGAGCAGCAACTAAGCCCCGCATAACGCCAACAGTGCATTGTACATCTCGGCATGGTTTCACAAATTGCTGAATGAATATGTTAAGGTGGTTGTCGTACTCATGTGGATGCACCCCGTGTGGTAGAACATGGGCATATGTGGGAAGTGCGTAGTTGTGTATGTCAGGCTTCTCTCGATATTGAAGCTCTTCACAAACACAGAACACACAACGCACATTTCGCACGAACATATCCGCACTCGCAGAATCATCCAAGTATTTGGCCTCAACCTTCAGCAGCCATTTGTCCGGGTCCAAGCCACATGCACCTGAGGAGTTCCTTTGTTCAAGCTCCAAGCGCCCGCGCTGCAACAAATTGACAGGTGAAACGGGAGGAAGCATGGACGGCAACCGTTTACTTGCTTTCTGTAAAATGCAGTTGATGCATGCCCTGCCCCACTCGGCCACAATGTATAGGCTTGAGAAGTCCTGCTGAGGTTCTGCATCACGATGGGCTCCGTGGATGATTTCTGCATCAATGTCAACGAAGTCGGTGACAAGGGGCTGTGTGCGCTCGCGAATGCGTGCATGCTGCTTCCCTTCAGCGGCTCGGTGTCGGCTTGTTTTGAAGCAAGGGTTTGCTTCCAGGACAAACTGAAAGAGAAGCTGGCTATCCTGCGAGTAGCCCTTCACGATCTAAGCCATGAGAGCATCAGTAGGTTCAATTTTTTTGGATAATTAGACGAATTCAGTAGCAGCGTGGTGGTGGTGGTGGTGGTGGTGGTGGTGGTGGTGGTGGTGGTGGTGGTGGTGGTGGAAGAAGAAAGTAGTACTCGTAGCAGCAGCTGCTGCACTGCAAGTGCTAGAGCCTCTAGTCGTCATCTGAGTAGTGGTAATATGGGGTAGTGGTCGCGGTTTGATGATGGTGCTGATGGGAGTGCACGTCGTGTTGGTGCTGGTGCTGTTGGTGCTACTGTTCCCTGTGATGGTGCTTTCGGTGATGGTGATGATGGCGCGAACGGCAAAAGTTAGGGGGGAAAAACGATGTTCAGTGATTCCTTGGCCCTACCAAGAGTTGAGGTCACTTGACAGACTTTTTTGCGATAGCCAGGCGCTCAGTAAGCGGCCGCCGTTTCTCGGAGACAGGTAGGGGCTGAAGCAGGTTTCCCATCTCTAGCTTTCCCACCTCCAATAGGGGGCCAGAAAATTGAATATGGGCGTCCTCAACATGGTCCTGAGGGTTCTATGGATTGCTTTAAAGGGGATGATTGGGTTGCTGTTCGGACGCCAAAGACATAAAAAACCTGAAGCTCTTCAACCGGCGCTGCAACACATGAAATGCTGTCTCCACGCTCAGAATCAAAATGAGTGCAACAGCCCATGAGTCGGAAGCCCTCGGCCAAGGCAGGGAAGGCCTAGGCAAACTCAGGCAAAATCCTGAGGCAAACCTTTGCCTCTAATGACACCCCTGCTTCGAAGAAGACTTTGCCAAACAAGCCTGGCACGCTTCAAGACTGGACAACCTTGCTTCTGTACTATGCTAGGATGTGAACCTCCTGCGCATGGTGAGCATTACTCTCGTGACTATTTACATAACTTATATTTACGAGGAACTATCCCGCTAAAGGCTTGATTACTCCTAGCAAGCAAAAAGAAAGGACAACCATTTCGGAGATGCCGGCCTCACCGCCCTGGCGGCGTCGGCGAGGACGGGCGGACTTCCCGCCCTTCGTCGCTTGTGCCTCTACAGCCGCTCGCCACCCAACGATGAATATTCCTGAAAATGGTCCTGCTGGCACCGATCATAAGGAACGCCCTACATCCCCGTAGTATATCCCTTGGCTGTCCAGAGACCCTCATTTCAGAAACTCGAAAATGATGGATCCCTTTCAGAGTTGGCATGCTGCTGCGGGGGTGCAAGAACAGGATGAGGGCTATAGTGTGCTTATACCAATCCAAACATAATTGGTCCCCTTGGCAGGCCTGTGTTTTTGTGCTTCTGTTCCAAGGGCTTGGAGAGCTTCTAAGTGATCAGAGAATTTGGGATTTTGAATCAAGAGCTTTGTCAAAATCATTGTTTTTTTCCCCTCTGAGCCCCTATCAGAAGCACTGTGGTTTGGAGGCTGCCATCAAGTTTGGGAGTTTCTGCTTCCAGTTTCGGCTGCATAGGGCTCCGGATTGCCTGTTGGTTTGTTTTCATGAAGGATGTAAGGATCGCTTGGGATTTGCAAAGATTTAGGTATTTCCTAAGGTTCCTTATCGAAGCAGCACTTGGATTTTCCGTTGGTTCCCCGGTTTGGGAAGCTACAATTTTGTCTTGCAGATGGGGCATTTGTGGCTTTGGGCCTCTTCTCGGCTCCCGGGGCTCTTCTGAGCCTTTTCTTCCCTTCTGAGAATTGATTGGCCCCGGGACTTTTCTTCTGAGCCTTTTCTGGGTTTCTGGACCTTTTCTATCATTCAAGTTTCCGGTGTTGATGGGTTTACTCACGCTTGAGGTTTGGCGGTGTCACAGTCTAGTTTTGTGTGGTAAATGTCGAAGAGGAGAGGCGCTTTCGGGAATTCAGGCGATGCGAAGCATGTAATCCCAAGGCCTTTGGTTTCTAGGTACGTGTACCTCTGACAGGCATTCAACAATTTTTCTGGACTAGGCCAAGAAACTCGTTGCAGCAACTGAGCACGAGCGCGTAGCAAAGAAACCAACAAAAATCAGCTTCCACGCAAGGGTCTTCAATTCTGCTTCAGATGCCCGAGGCAACAGCATCGGCGATGCTGCTTGGCAGGGCTTTGCAGCATCCAGGCCATGCCAAGCATGCCCGCTAGCCACTGCCCCCCAGTGTCACAAGCAGCAACCCAAACCGACAGGTCACCAGGAACCCGCCTTGCCAAGAAACCCTCAACCTCCAGCAGCAGCCATTCGTTCCGAGACCAGAAACGGAAGGCCTAGGGAGCTCTGCCAACCTTTTCAGCTTGCCTGTGGCATATGCATGTCCTGGCTAAAGTGTTGGGTTGCAGATTGCATGCCTCGGATTCGAGTGTTCGGCGAAGGGTGGTGCGAAGTCAGTGGTATTCAAAGTCTAAATAATAATCTGTTTCGGGGCTGCGCACTCAAGGAGCTAAACATGGGCTCCAATGCGTTCGGAAAAATTGCGCAGGTAAGTTTGTTTCCTCACGAAACACTTAAAACGCTCATGTCGGGATGTAGAAAATGAGAACAGCACCCACTTATGTGTTGGATAAATTCACAAATGGCCCCGCATAAGATGTAGAAACTTGAGTGCTATCATGTGCTATCATCCGAAGAATTACTTCTGTATGTACCAAGGCTGGCTTTGGCGCCTTAGCCGACGCAATTCAGGAGAAGGCGCGACCGGCAAGTCAAAATGTTGGGTGATGGTTTTTGGCTAAGGGTCTGCCAGGGGTGGTGGGTGGGTGGGTGGGTGG